CTGGATGATGGAGCTCCTTGCCTTATCTCTAAGGCTGAGCCCGGCCACACTACAAACTAGGTAACTACTTGAAACAAAAATGCAATTAATAATTCAAGAATTCCAACAAAAACTGGAGTGAACGATGACTAACTTTATATTTGTGGCTTTTAAGTCTTAGATTAGTGGCTTCTGGGTTCAGTGAAGTCTCTATGAGACCTACCAGCAACAAAAGACGCCAAAACCGAAATAAAATCTGATTCACATTATCTCAAATTTATATTGACCTGCTGTGGATCAAAAGATAAGCCTCAACATCAGTGTATGTGGAGTTGTTTTAGCAACAAACATATTGGACTATCACATCCTACAGTGCATCCTTCAACCATAGAAGAGTTTGGAATTTGGCCACTTTTCTCATTTGATGTCAGATTTGAATATGAGCTTGTAAACTTTTATTGCTCTTTTTTAAAGTCCGTCACAAACTGAGGTACTTGGGAAGAGTTAGTGTTTTCTGATGTGGCACTTGTTATAAAAAGTTTGAGAATCACTGGACCAGACGCCCAATAATGACATTACAGTATAGACTTTACAGGAGCTGATTTCACAGAGATGTCATTAGTGAGTGTCTCCTTTGATCTGAGTTATGTGTCTACAAGCAAATGAGATGATTAATGCACTCAAAATGTATTTGACAGGTTGATGTGAACCTATAGTTTAGGGTTGAGCTGAGGCGACCCACAGCGGGGCTGTAACGGTCTGGACAGGGCGCCCCATTAGGAGTGGCCTAGCGGACACAGTCATTTTACAGGAGAGGAGCTAAGTGTTCAGTTTCAGCGTCAAACATAAAAAGCTCTTGCGATCATACTTTTAATCCACCAACCTCCACCTCCAGTCTCCCTAAGCACCAGTTAGACTCCAGTATACACCTCTGTGCTCCTCCCATCAATCTTTAGTCTTCATCTTATTGCCCAAAATGCTCCCAGACCATTTGGACCATGTTTCACTGCTGTAAATGTCACCATAGTTAAACTCTATCCATTTTCCACAGACTGCCCTTTATTCACCATCCTTTATAAAAAATAAAAAAAAGACCCCTGCTAGCATTTCATGTTTTCTCACTTTTACTGCATGCCAGAGAGCCCCTTTCCTCCTTATTTATTCAGTCATACGATAACTCTTTTTTTTTCTGGGATAGCTGAATTTATTTATTTATTAGCTGTAAAATTTGTTTTCTTTCTTTACTTTTTTCTTGAAACATTTTATCTGCTTTTGTCTTGAAATACACTTAAGTTTATGTGTCTTGTTTTGCTCATCTGACAGTGAGCAAACTGTTGGTCTATAATGTAGTTCAGAAAGACCTTTTATTTGTTTATGCATGGCCAATAAAAATAATGATCAGCTGCAGCAGGGCATCGTCCTAATGGTTAACTGTGTAATATAAGAATGAAGATAAAATATGACTGCAAAATGTTAATATCATGAACTCAGTTCCAAGTCCGCCAGTCTCCCCACCATCACAGACATGTACACGTCCAGATGCAGGAAGAGGGCCACCTGCATCATGAAGGACCCCACTCACCCAGCACACACACTTTTTGTCCCGCTCCCCTCAGGTAGAAGGTTGAGGAGCATTAAGTGTAGAACCACTAGACTGAGGAACAGCTTATACCCTGAGGCTGTTAGAAATAAATCCCTAATCAGGATTATCAATGTGAAAGGAAAAAAAAAAATCACTGTAATGCCGCTTTGATTAGTGATATGTGCTGCTGATTATCCATACTGCTGATCTCATGCTGCTGATTATTTCATGCTGCTGTATTCATTTGTACTCATCTGCTCACACAGACTGATGTTCGTGCTGCTGTTGTTTAGTCATATTGTTTTGCACTAAATTATTTAGCATATTTCTTAGTTTATATCTTAGATCCTTATTACAGTTTCTTTTTACAATTTATATTTTTGCTATTGTTGAATGTGACTGGGACCTTGTGTACATAATTTCGTTCCACCTCATGTACCACATGTGATGAGAATAATAATAAAGCCTACTTGAACTTGATTTTGTTCCATGCATCACTAATGCTGAAAAGCTCACTGATTTCCTGTGCTTTGTACAACATGCAAATCATTTAATTTATAGTAAGAATGTAAGTTCATAAGAAATCTAGACCCAAGTCTGCAGATCATAAAAACTTTTTTTTTTTTTTTTTTGGAGGTTTAAAAGAACATAATAGAATCATACTTTATCCATGAGGCAAGGTCTGCATTCTTCAGCAGCCTTATGAGGCCTGGCCTGACAGTGATGACAGCATGATTAATGCCCAGCACCATTCCCACTCACACTGACTTCACACAGTGAGCCCATGTAGCTTGTTTAAGAAAAAACCTAAGTAAACTACCCACCAAGACAACTCAGATAGCTTGTAGCTGTCAATGGCAAGAACACCCAAAACGGATAGGTTGAAGTCCTAAAACAGACTGACAAAGTATTTTGGATTAAAGACAAGCATTCCAAGGTTTTTTTTTTTATCCGTCCAGAGGACCTGACTTAACTTTGTTAGCTTGTTTATTAACTTTGTTTCATGCTTCATCATATTCACTACTTTTCTGTGATGCCCTCTCTTCCTTAATTAAAGCACCTTTCTGACATTTTATTCATGTAATTTTTAATATCTGTAGAGTATAAAAATCAACTATATTTTACAAAATATTTTTTTAAAACTCAACTGCTGTTGTGTTCAGTCATTTGAAAGTAGCTGAGAAATGAGCTGCATGCACCCATACACTGTATGGAAACACAAATAATCCTCAGCTGATGTATTGTTTACTCACTTATTCTTTCACTTTCACAGATAACAGATATGTATTGTGCTACGGTGTTCTTCAAAATGATCAAATTATACAGAAACAAGAAAGAAAACAGAACATGACCATACAACAGCTATAACTAAATACCTTTGCCCTAACTGAACCAGCTCAGAACAGTCTGTACCTCACAGGAGCAATTCAAGTGTCCCCTTGCAATGCTGGCTCTTATAAACTATGCAACCAAAAAAGAAAACAAATAAAAGTAAAAAGATCTATTTTCAAGCAGAAACTGAACATACTGTATTTCTCACCCACTACGACACAATCAGATCAGACTAAAAAGTTACCAGTGCATTTAGGGTGTCCAGCGTCCTTCAAATGATAACTATGAACCTTTTAGGGTTTGATTTTGTTCATGGATGTTCTGATAGTAGCTCTTTTCTCCACTTTGATTAAAAAATGTTCAAATCATAATGCTGTGGTTGAGTGGTTAGAGCAGTTGTCCTCCAATGCGAGAGTTGGGGGGTTCAAATCCACCAGCAGTCACATGCCAAAGTGTCCCTGGGCAAGACAATGAACCCCTCGTTGCCTACAATGTGTATCCCGTCGGTGCATGAATGTGATCTAAAGCACTGATTATTCTTCGTATAGATCTAGTAGAGTACTGTATGAATGGGTAAATGAGGGCACAGATTGTGTAAAGCGCTTTTAGTATCTTGATTAGATAGAAAGGCGCTATATAAGTACAGTCCATTTACCTTTCACCATAAGTGACGAGATACTATCTCAAAAGTAGGACTAAGTTTTTCATAATTGTGATTTACAAAATTTGTATTTCTTTAAAAGTGTCAAAAACAGGTTTTCCTTATATTTCATCTTTCTAATTTTTGATTTAGTCGTTTTCCGAAATTCATAAATAAATTCAGATTGCTAAAATCTGGCTTACAGAAAATTCTCACTGTCACAATGTCATTTATAGGAGAGCTCCTTAAGCATGCTTGAAATATTTGCTGTGTATTCCCAAAGTAATCCATTCATAAATCTCATAGCACGGTCATGCGTGTTATAGCAATGAACAATTAGAAGGTGAATTTAGGCTTAACTGGACCTGCAGCTTCTGTTTGATTTTCACCAGTTGCAAATCAAAACTTCAAGTTTTCAGTGCATGTTAAATTCACCATTGGGCTTTATGACCCCAGATGACAAATATTGCATAGCCATAATAATTATATTTTGCTGACTGGATAAAATAAAATAGCAATTTTACAAAACACAGTAGAATAGCATTTAATTATTTTTGATTTATATCTGCAAAACTGACAACAAAATTTGATAAATAAACTATTTCCACTGTAAGAACATTGGTTTTATCTTCTCATATTGGTCCTGCAGTGGGAAAATAAAGCAAAAATATCAGCTCACAACAAAATAAATCTAAATCTGTTAAAGCATTAAAACATGTTGTGGTTTGTTCATACTTCAACAGTCAAAAAGGGAGTTCCTGAATAAATGCTGAATGTGAAGGGGCGCCTTCGGAATCTATCATTTTTAACTTCACCGCATTCATTAATCTTCCATAAGCAGCCATAAAAGAACCTGTGTGGAGGACGAAGAGGATATCTGGCTCCAGATTCTAGCATTAACCAAGAGGAAGAGGAATCACAGGTTGGCATTACGATTCCATGCCAGTCACCGCCAAGACAAGCGATCAGGCCACAAAGACAAACGCCCTGACAAAAAGCCTCAAACTAAGGTTTTCCAGACTGTAAAAAGACAGAAGTATTTTCTGACTGCCAAGTCTTGAGGTGAACTGAAAACAGCCTAACAGGAACCATGGATTAAAACTGAATTCTGAATTTATCTTCCTCCATTTGATGCAGTGTCTTTGTCTGAAATCTCATAAAATGTAAACTAACAGCGACAAACATTTTAGGACGTTTCAAAGTTCAGGTTCAATATTTCCATTTTATGCTAAAACCATAATCAATGACATAAATCAAGCTTCAGTAATTCTTTATTTTAGTTTCCATAATGACCTTTAGGATGCTTTAGTTAGCCGTAAAACTGAAATAATATTTTAGACCAACAATAGATCCTCTTTCATGTGATAAAACAGTTCCCACTTTATTTTATAATTTATACCAAACAGCATCTCTAACAATGACAGTGGTGTCAGGTGCATGGTCCATATGTTATTTGCAAAAATTGTGTCACAAGAAGAGTTTGTTGAAGCAAACTGAACAGTAAGGCTTCCCTCCTTGCTCCTTGAAGATGCCCTGGTTGAGCTGCCGCAGACAGAATGCACACACAAAGTGCTCGGGATGAAACTTGCGCTCGAGAGCAGAGATGCAGCGACCGATGATGGGCTCGCCACAGCCGCCGCACAGGGAGCCCTGCCTGGAGTGAAAGTGCAGCGCACAGAGGGGTCGACCGTCCATCTCCATGAAGCAGCCATCAGTGAAGGGCTTCAGGCAGTCCTGGAGAGAAAAGCAGAAGAAGAAAGCAAGACAAGGTGTCAATGAGCTCAAAGGTTAATGTCTACAAAACTATATAAACTAAATGTTTACTTCTATTTCTGTTTTAACCCTTAAGAGTTGTGCATAGTTACTTTATTATTGTCCATCTCTGATGATTGGAGTAAACTGTTTCTGTTAGCAAAATAGCTTATAAACCACTGGATAGGTTTAAAATGAAACTTTCATTAAATCTTCTCTTGATGTACATCAACTACTGGATAATGTTGAGTTAACCCTGTGTCTTCTCAACATGAGATGATTTGAGTTGAAAAATCGAGCATAAATGCTGGGGAGTGCTATGAACGCCTTCATAGAATGACCATAGCTCAACACTGTAAGACCAGACACACAAGCCTGTGCAATGCCTTGATTGACTACAGGAAAGTCTATGACTCCACGCCACACACGTGGATAACATCCACAGAACACAAAGAGCCTTCATACAGGACACAGTTGCACATATCAGCATCAAATGTGGCACATGGCAAGGTGATGCACTGCTCCCACTCCTGTTCTGCATAGGTCTGAACCCCTCAGTCAGATCATTGCAAAGAGTGGCTATGGATACCGATTACAGAGTGGAACAATCATCAAGCTATATGCCAAAAATGAGCAAGACATCTCACTGATCCACCTCACCAGGATACAGGACATTGGAATGCCATTTGGATCTAAGATCTTGAAGTACACCAAGAGGGAAGCCCCCAATGATGAACTGATGAGTGAATGTCTTAGGTGGCAGTTGAAACCCAATGTGGAAGAGGAGGAACAAGACGAGCCGTAATGGAAAGATAAGCCCCTGCATGGCATGTACCACCGCAAGATTTAAGAAGTGGCTGATGTCAACAAATCCTACCAGTGGCCAGAGAGGGCTTGAATAAAGTACAGCACAGAGACCCTTATCATAGCAGCTCAAGAACAGGCCCTGAGTACAAGAGCAATAGAGGCCAGGATCTTTCATACCAGACAAGACCTAAGATGCAGGTGTCAGAGAAAAATAAACTGATTCACAGACGCTCAGGTGTAGACTTCATGAAATTTATTACAAAGCTTTGGAGAACGGTCAAACCCACAGAGTCAATGCATCACAACTGAACTTATTCATGTCTTGTTCTGTCTGGCTCATTCTAAGTTCCTGAAATGAAAAGGTTAGTTTTATAGAACCTCATCAGGGTGCCTCAGAACCAAACCCAGCTGGCTACTGGGAAGAACAGTCTCACAGAATGGAAAACAATCCTCAAGGTTCCTTGTGGTTGAGGGGGTGTGTTGGGGGGGGGAGTAAATAAGATTCTAGCCATCTACTACTGGCACTGTCATTCCACAAACAGTGATACCAATGACATGAAAGCATTATAACATACCATTCAGACCACAGTAACACAGAATAAGATGAATCACACATAAGGATCAATATATAATGAAGTATCACACTGTAAATACTTTTCAAGTTGTGTTTATTTGTTATATGCAAGGTTAACACAAGATTAACAGTACAATGAAATGTTCATTGTACTTACATATACAACTTTCCCCTGACACAGGCTATGCAATGATGCCTCAAAGACAGTCTGACACATAATAGCAGAATGTAAGATTTAGGCAGGCAAAGCATACATGAAACACCATAACCAATGGCTGGAATAATTTACAGGAACATCTGTGCCGAGTATGGACTGAGGTCCCACAGTCAATTCAATTCAGTTTATTTATATAGTGCCAAATCACGACAAAGTTGTCTCAGGGCACTTTACAGGAACATTCACATACATAAAAAGACAATTAGTAAAATTCTCTATCTAAGGAGGCCAGCAGACAAGTTTAATCTTGGCTTCATTGTAGTCTCCCATCCTAAGCAAGCACAATGGCAACAGTGGAAAGGAAAAACTCCCTTTTAAAAGGAAGAAACCTCCAGCAGAACTAGGCTCAGGACAATCAGCCATCTGCTTTGACCAGCTGGTTTGAGAGGACAGAAAGGAGAGACAAACAAACACAGTCAAAGTGGGAGACGCCACCAAGGGTGTTGGTAATGGAAGGGCTAAGATACTCTGGGACTTCCAGATTCAGACTGACAAAACAAGTGATGGCTAATCAACACTTATTAGCCATCGCAAGTGACTACAAGTCAACCACTGTGGTGGTCGACAAACAAGAGAAGAAGGCAGTGGTGATAGATGTAGCAATCCCAATAGGCTGTAATATCAGGGAGAAGGAGCATCTCAAGAAATACCAAGGGCTGAAAAAGGAAATACACAAGTTGTGGAGACTCAAGGCATCAGTAGTCCCAGTAGTCAAGCACTTGATGCAGCACTTGGTGCTGACCCCCAAACTAGAGGAAGACTCCAGTTTGGGGGTCACAGATTCCAGGAACAATCTCAGAAATCATTGTCCAGAAGAAAAGATGGCTAGGAACAGATAAGATACTGCACAGAACCCTCAAATGCCCAGGCCTCTGGTAGAGGACACGAGTTTGAAGTGAAACTGAACAAGCAGAAGAGTAAGGCATTCCAGCCGGGGACTTTTCTGGGTGTTTTGCATTTTTTCTTTGTACATATGTGGGGTTTTTCTGAAGAACTCCTGTTTCCTCCCACAGACCAAAAACATGCATGTTAGGCTAATTGGTAACTCTAAATTGTCCCTAGTTGTGAGTGAGTGTGTTGGGTTGTTTGTCTCTATCTGTCTCTGTGACCTGTCCAGGGTGTCCCCTGCCTCTCACACAGTGAACGCTGGACATGGACACCAGCAACCAGGAAACACGGAAGTAGGTAACGATAATGAATGGATGGATTTCTACTGTAAGTGGTTGAATAATACAAGATTTTCTGAAGGTACATTAAACTAGTCTAACCTTACAATGTTAACCAAAATATGGTTATAATCTGACTTTACATCTAAAAATCCTGTGGCATTTTTGAATCTGCAAACTTGTGGTGTAAATTACATAATTTGATGGAACATTTTGAACAGACAGTAAACCACATAGAGCTTTAAAAATTGATTTACAGTCATGTGTCAGCTAACAACTTAAACAGAAACTGGAACTAGACATTCAGCACAGCAAGGTCACATGTTTCCCTTGGTAGACTTTTTTGTGATTTCATGGCAGTAAAAGCACAGGTGCAACTCCTAGCATTACCGCTGTCTGTGTTTCATTTATTGTGTGCCAGTAAGCCGCAGTGGAGAGGAAACAAGTACAACTCTAGGGCCACAGGCAGGAATGCCTGTGGAACAGTCAAAAGTATTACAAAAGTAACACCTTTTTTTTAGTAAGTCAGCTAGAGAAAAGAAAAAAACAGTTGTCAAAAATTGTTGAAAAAAAAGTTGTTTCCTAAAAAAAACAATCCCACTAAAAATAATTGATGTGTTTGATCATTTTACAGCATTTTCATAGCAATAATTGCTATCAAAAATAATTGATAGGCACTTTGTAATAAGAATAACACTGTGTAAATCTTTTTAACAACTTTGCCACCAGAGGAGCTCCAGTTTTTATTGGGTCTGGAGGCTAATGACTCATGCAACACAATTTTTTACAAGTGAGAAGAATGAGCTGCAGTGAAATTGGATATACAAATCATAATTAGAAAAAAATAGGAGCTTGTTTTTTTCTCTCACACATGAGATCTAAACAATTTATTTTTCACCTTTGAATGTTCCTTTCCTTTTATAAACTGTTTGACCTCCTGTCCAGCAGTGAGAAACACTAACCACACTGCTTAGTGGGGACTTCTCAGACTGATGAAGTCCTTCGGATGGAGAACTAAATGTTTCTCAGCTAAAGGAAAAAAAAAAAAAAGAAAAGAAACTGTCCAGATGACCTGACTGAACATTGTTGGATATTTTACTTAGATTACTGAGCATGGACCTTGATGACTAACCACACTAATAAATACAAAATACAATGTTGATATTTTGAAAGCAGTGGTGGTACAGTAAATCATTATTAGCGTATTGATGTTTTGTGTTATGGTGTTAATTATAATGGATTTAACAAAAAAAAAAAATATTTTGGAGATGTCTGATAACTAGACAGATGAATTGTGTTTTTATTCTAACCAGCTTGAAAAGCTAATGGCAAATCAAAATAGCCCTGCATGATCTCACCACCATCTTGTCAGTCATGTCCGAATGAACTGTTCTAAGAAGAAACTATCTTTTCAAACTGAGGTCATTCACAAGATATTATTTATTCATCATTTTACCACAGAAGCCCATTTTTAAATATCTGAACTATCAGAGTATTAAACAAACTTGTTTAGGAACTTTTTTGCTGCTGATCTCGTGCTGCTGATATATTTTGTTTCTGCTGTTGTTCAGTGTATTGTTTGCACTATTACGTCTTTAGATCCTTAGTACTGTTTCTTTTACAATTTATGTTTTTGCTATTGTTGGATGTAACTGGGATCCTGTGTACACAATTTCGTTCCACCTCATGTACCACATGTGATGTGAATGACAATAAAGAACCTTAAACTTCAACTTGAACTTGATTTTTTTTGTCTTAGTTGCCATTTTAAATTTTAAAATACAATTAAGCTTTTTATATTTCACATATTAGAAACTGAAATTTGAACAATATTCAGCCAGCTGCTGTGTACAGTTACTGTGAGGAGGACATGAAAGAGGACTATGGATTCCTTGATTCATCATCAACACTTCAACTGTAACATATGCATCAGGCATATGGTTTTCATCAGAACTGCGATCAAAACAATGCAAACAAAGCAAGTGTGCGGGTATCTTTCTCAGTCATTCTCAGACTGGTATGCAAGCCAGGGCTGTGTGCGTGTGGTCTGTGTGAGGGGCTCACTGTGCAGACGAAGCACTCTGGGTGCCAGGTGCCGTTGGCTGCAGTCAGGTAGTTCTCCCTCACCGACTCGCCGCAGCCCGAGCACTTGGGAGCAAAGAGGTGGTAGAAGTCCTTGCAGCAGTACGGTTTCCCATCCTTTTCCAGAAAACCTGATAGATGGAGGATAAACTCAATTGTGTGCTAAACTTCTCCATCAAAGGGGAATTCGTTTTCCGTCTTTTTTCACCTTCTGCGTCAAAGCGGTCTCCGCAGTGTGTGCAGAAGAAGTGCTCCGGGTGCCAGGTCTGGTCCAGAGCTGTCAGGATGTTCTGAGAAACAAGCCAAAAATATAACATCTTATTTGACTGATCTTAAAGACCAGTAAGATTTGTGTCACAACCACGTATTTAAAAAGTCGAACTGAGAGAAGAGAATAACCAAAGATGCCAGATTAGTTTCTGATTTATGTTTTTGGTCTGCAGCCTGAGGTGAGCCCAAGCTAAGGTCCCCCTATATAGTTGTAACTATTATCAAAATGTGGTGTCATCTAAGAAAAAACAACCACGTTCTACATCATGTGATCATCCAATCTTATAAAGATCATTTTGTGGATAAAATGTGACTGATTAAATTAAAGTATTGGTGGTGGTCCATAAGTGTTTTATGAGTAAGATGCTCTCTATAAATCACATCTGTGTGATGTGGGGGGAATGTTTTTTTATCTTTCTGTGCTCCCTTACATGCAGAATAGGCCCCTTGCAATAGGCACAGCGTGGCGCGAACAGCTGATGGTAGTCTTTGTCACAGTAAGACTGTCCCTCTCTCTCAAAGAAGCCAGTCGTGCTCAGCTCCTTCTTACACACCACACACACAAAGTGCTCAGGGTGCCAGACTTGGCCCAGTGCTGTGATCATCTAAGGGCGGAAAATAAGGGTGGATAAAGACGTGAAAAACCGAGACTGGTTTGTAATTTTTGTCTCAGGGGTCTGCACCCTACCTTTCCAACAATGCCTTTGTTGCACGCAGCGCAGTGGCCTTTTTCAGTGGTCCGCACGCCAATCTTCTCCAGGTCAGAGCTCAGTCCTCCCAGCAGGTCGTCTATGGTGTCTGTTTTCTGTCTCTGGGATGAGGCTGTCTCACCTGAACCAGCTGGACTGCTGCTGCTGTCCTGCTTTTCATCCTGCTGTTCAACTTCAGGTTTTCTTTTTACAGATTGCTTTTCAAACAGTGTTGGGGGAGTTGTTCCGGGCAGTTGGTTCTAAACAAAAGAACACAAACACATGTGTATTTTGTTTATCCTTTTTTTTTTTTATTTCTTTGTTTGCTAAAAGTTTTAACCAAACCAAACTTCAATACTTATTTGGAGCTGTGGAATGCCGATTTCAATGCTATGCTGCCCTCTATTGTTCAACCTTGTTAACTTATTTCACATTTAAAACCTTTCATGTACCTTCCGTTTAATAATAAAAATATAAAAATGTATTGAACAATGTTGAATTTTCCATGAGAATATGAGTACTAATTATACAAAGTCAGTTTAATGTGATATACAGGTACATAGGGACGTACATCTGCAGAGAATACTGACCGCTTGTGCTAGACCCATTAAATCTTGCAGGACAGAGTTCAGTTCTTGAGTGGGTGAGTCGGGATCAAGAGAAGCTGGCACAGGAGCTGGCAGGTCACTAGGTTCAATAAAGAGACAAATTTCACAGTAAAGCAAAGCAAAATATTTAAAATTATTCAATCTTATCAACTCAGACCAACCCATTCAATCAAAAACATCACAAAGATACTAAATGTTAGAGACTACTTGATCCAGGGTCCAGTTTATGGCTTTAGTTTTTAAATAAACTTTGGTTCTGGAATTGTGACAGTAGCTTACTAATTACATAACATGCATGCACATATGTCTTTATAATAAAGCTAAAAGTAAGAAAACACACAAAGCCGTACTATTAAAGCAATTGAAAACAGGTGTGTAATTGAAATAGAAACATAATATATTGACTTGAAATTCCTTAAACACGTTAATTCATTTGAGATTAGCCTAAAGATGTAAAAAAACATATCAGCAAATGACGTCATAAAAACACAAGTTAATTTTAATATTTAATACTTGTTTTTTTTTCACTGCTAGATCATGCTGTGTTGGTTAAGGTGGAAGTCAAAGTGTTTAGCTGAAATGAGATCTAGATGGCTCTGGTCTGGATGCTAATTCAAGTTGCTCCAAAGTTGAAGTTAATTGTAGATGTTGGCTTTTCAGTTGTGCGTTGGTAGGAAGTGATACGGTTCCTCACAACATGACACAGACACACACACTTTATCATGTCCAAAGTGAAAGTTATATTCAGAGCCTTCAAACTGCATGACAAGTTTCTTACGTTTTATCTCAAACAGTCCAAAAAGAGCATTGTCTCAGAGAATTGTTATATTTTGCAAAATGAGGTTTAACACAGTTTTTTGCACACAGTTTTAAACACAAATGGTAAACTGGCCCAACTTGCAGCTGAGAAATGAACCAAAGCTCTGGAGGGTGTCGTAGAGTGGTTAGACCAATCTTGTCTCACTCTGAATGTAAATAAAACTAAAGGTATGTTTTTCTATGAGACTACATTGGACACTTCAAATGCAAACATTTATATTAAGAATAAAGAAATTGATATTGATACTGTGATGGACTGGAGACCTGTCCAGGTTGTCCCCTGCCTCTCGCACAGTGATGGCTGGACATGGGCATCGGTGACCACGGAAAAGGAAGAAGCAAGTAAAGATGGATGGATGGATGGAAATTGATATTGTGACTGAATTTAAGTATCATTAAGGGGTTAATTAGATCCATCCATCCATCCATTTTCTTTACCCGTTTGTTCCATTTTGGGTCACGGGGGTCACTGGTGCCCATGTCCAGCAATCACTGTGCGAGGGGCGGGGTACACCCTGGACGGGTCGCAAGTCCATCGCAGGGCCACATAGAGACAAACAACCATTCACTCTCTCACTCACACCTAGGGACAATTTAGAGTTACCAGTCAGCCTAACATGCATGTTTTTGGTCTGTGGGAGGAAACCGGAGTACCCGGAGAAAACCCACGCATGCACGGAGGGAACATGCAAACTCCACCCAGAAAGGCCCCCGGACCGGGGTTTGAACCAAGGACCTGCTCGCTGAGAGGCAGCAGCTCTACCAGTTGCGCCATCGTGCTGCCCTGGGTTAATTAGATTCATATGTCAATTCAAAATTGTCAATATGTCAAATTCAAAATCAATTACAAGAAACATTAAATTTAAAAAGTCACAAACTGTAAAACACATGATCCTGGTCAGTATTAGACATATTAGATCTTGTTAGTCATTTGAAGCAGCCAAGATATTCGTGCATTCATGTTCTCACGCACTTCATATTGTTTTACACATTAGGGACAAGTTAATTCATAAACAATAAAAACCGTTAGGGTCTAAAAACTTTGACAAAAAGCTTTTAAGACATCATTGTGTGAATGTACAGAAACACAAGCTTCTAACTTTTGAGAATTTTAGAGCTTTCTCAAACATGGGAACAGATTATAACATTTTAAATGGTTTAGTGCCAATAATCAATCCATTATCTTTACCTGCTTTTTCCATTTTGGGTCACGGGGGTCACTGGTGCCCATGTCCAGCCATCACTGTGCGAGAGACGGGGGACACCCTGGATGGGTCTCCAGTCCATCAGGGGGGACACACAGAGACAAACAAGACAACCATTCACTCTCTCACTCACACCTAGGGACAATTTAGAGTCATCAGTGTAACATGCATGTTTTTGGTCTGTGGGAGGAAACCGAAGTACCCAGAGAAAACCCACGCATGCATGGAGAGAACATGCAAACTCCACCCAGAAAGGTCCCAGGCGACCTGCTCGCTGAGAGGCAGCAGCTCTACCAACTGAGCCACCATACCGCCCTTAGTGTCAATCATTTTAGCAAAGTTAGTTTTTCACCATTCTGCTGTCTATGTGCACTACCAGAACATCCACACAGAAATGAACAATTCCCATTTGATGCTCGGCCTTCGGACCAGCAGCTTTCTCTGTTAAAGAAAGAGCTCAGTGGAATCTCTCCTGGTCACCATAAAACCTGTAGAGCTTTAATTAGCTTTAAATATACCTTTAATATCTCAAATCTACTCAACACTGCAGTCGCTAAATTTTATTAGGTAATCAATAATATTGTGTACTTTTAATAATGGTGGTAGGGGTGTGTTTTTAATTGTTAAATGTCTTTTTTTTTCCTAGTTTCATTGATGTCGGATGGTTTAAATGTAGTTTATTGTCTGGAGGGACCACAGATGAGAATTAGCACAAGACTAAATCTGGTGGTGTGCATCGAGAGTCTTTAACATTATAAATGTACTGTACACTGTCCTGATTAAATAAAGTGAATTGAACTGAACATGTTGTGGAAAATGCAAAAACTATTTACATTCACTTGTCGTGACCTGGATTCTTATTGTGTGTGTGTGTGTGTGTGTGTGTGTGGGGGGGGGGGTCATCCTTCAGAAAGTCTTCAGTCCTTTTTAGTTTATTTGTTTTAGGTTTATGTCTTCTGTTTTATTACTCGTTTTTGTTTTCCATGTCACCTTACTGTTTCTTGGATTACCAAAGGCTATTTCTCATAACTTCCTTCAGTTACTTCTTTTTTTCTCGTGGTTACCCAACTCTTCCTGTTTCTATCTTTTGATTTTATTTTGTTTTATCAGATGAACTCTGAATCAGCTGTTTTTCTGTCACTTTGGGTCTTCCTGCTTCTGTCTTGTTTGTTCTTTGTTACCTGTCAGCCTCCTGCTTTGTGTTTCAGTTCGAATGTTCTGCCATAATTTAAAGCTATGAACAATATTTTCTAAAGTGCTCTGTTTTAATGTGATATATAATACAATCAAGGCAGTTTCCCAGAAGCTATGTTATATTTTTTAATCTTATTAAACTATCTGTATCCGTTTTAGCTGTTTACGCTTTTAAGATGGTACAAGAAAAACAAACGTTTTACTAAAAGCAACTGATTATTTTACATCATATACCACATTTATTTTGGAAACATGTTTGGAACGTGATGTGAAAGTTTTGAGAAGAGGCAAAGTTTCAAAAATGTTTACAATTTTGCATTAAATGATTTGACATATGTACCTGGTGGCCTTATTATTTTGTCCTTGGGACATGTTTTGGGTTGGCTGATTAGCCTTTAATTGTTTTGAGCTGTCCCTTTTCTGCCCCACATATTTAAGAGGCTGGTCCCAGGGAGTTCTCCACCCCCCCATCCCCTTATTTTTTTTTATTTATTTTTTTTTGGTTCCTCTCTGTCACCCACACTTTTGAGCTGCCTCTCACAGAGGCACTGGTTTTTGAACTCTAGTTTGGACTGTTTTTTTGTTTTGTTTTTTGCTGCCCTTGTTTTATTCTGGAGTCTTTATGGTCATCTTGTTTTTTGTCATTGTCCTGGAGCTGTGGCCTGCTGTGGGCGGCCTCAGCCACCACAGGTAATTTTTGTTGACTTTTGTATGATTTTTTTTTTTTTTTTTTTTTTTTTTGTAATTTTGGCCTGGTGGGACAGGTAGTCCTGTTTTCGCTCTTCCTTTTGTAATAGGTGTTTTTTAGTTTTTTGTAGCTTTAGTCTGGTATCAGCAGTGGCTTCGACGGCCCTGGATAAGGTTGGCCCGCTGCTGTATCTTTTGTTTGGTTTGGCCAGCTTACCAGGTCCTCCTTTAAGTTAATACTTTGGGTTTTTGTGTCTTTTGGTGGACACTGGTATTTTTCCTTTTTTTTTTTTTCCAGGAACCAGCTGAAAAATAAAATGAATGTTTGAACCTTCCTTATTTGTGTCTCATGGCCTCCTTTAATGTGTTGTGTTCATGGTGGACATAACACATTTAAAAAATATTTTAGTACATGCTGACGTTCAGTCATATTTTCCATGAAAGTTGTCTTAAAATGAGACAACCAGATTTTGAAATACTGTCAGTTTAAATTAGTTTTGTTTTTTTCTACACTCTTTACATATTGAAGCTGTTCAAGGTGACAACAAGGACCTGGAGTTTGTGTCTCACCTGTACACATTCGAGCAGTCGGACTTTTCTTTTTCACTAAATCCAGACAAATCTGCATCTGAAACCTGCAAAGAAATTCAAATTATGTTTCAGGAATGTGATGAAAAATAACTTTGTTTTTATTACATTTCAAAATGGAAAAAGTTTTGATCAGTTGAAAATAAAATTAGATTTGACTTTAGCCAGAAATATATTTACATTTGTGTAATGATTGTTCAGCTTCCACACTATTGTTTCTGTGTTTATTTTGCTGCTTTTTGCTTTTTCTGCTCAGCAAATTTCAGTAAACTCATTCAGCATACTTCATGTTTGCAGAAAATGTGATTTCTGTAGTTTTATTTATTTTATTTTTTTTGCTCACCTTTCCATCAGACATATCTTTGTTTCTCATTGTTTCAGCGTTGCCTGACCCTGATAGATTCAGGGACAGCTCTTCTAAAAGCATATCTGTGGCAGGATAAAAAACAGCCATCTTTTAATCAATCATCAACTCACATGCACAGTGTTCATGCAACAACTGGGCACATTGTTCTGTCCCACTGATCCCTTCATGTTTTATGTCAACCAGTGAACACATGTTTGGTTTTTGCAGAGCGAAATGTTTCCTGCTCCGGTGAACTGAGGCTGTTTGGTTCACATCGGCTTCCTCAGGAAGTGGTGGCATCAAATGTTGCAGAAGTGAAACTTGTGATCAATGTCACAAGAATCTGAAGGATAAATATTGAACCCAAAATATCTTTCTTTGCAATTTTTTAAACCATGCATCAACAGAACATAGAAGATAAAAATAAACCATGCATTATCTGCACTTTTTTACAACTATTATATGTGAGAGCAAGAGAAAATATTTTGTATTGAAAAGAACATTATATAGAAAGTTTAGCTTCAAAAAGACAGAAAGTGTTTCAGCATGGTGAAACTACCATGACTGCATTTATTCTGGTGAAGTGAAAGTCCTAATCTCTTTGACCTGATTAGATTTATTTTAAATATTACAATGAATATTATCAGTTAAAATCATTTTAGGAGCTTTTAAAAAGACCTGTGTGTTAAAAATAAATTTCAAAATAAACAGTAGGAACCATAAAATTAATTGCTGATAAAAGTGTACAGTAAATACAGGACAGTGCACAAGCTGAGTAAACTGTCTCCATAAGCAGACTTCCTTTTTTTTTTTTTAACATCGCTCACATTTTAAATCCGTAATAAGTTGTATAATTGATTGGTTTTGGAGTAATCGTTTATGTAAAAATTATTTAAAGATATCTTACCAAGCTCATCCATGTTAGTTCCCGCTTTCAGTACAAATGTTGAAAATGTGTGTGTGAGATGGTGTGTGTGGGTTTTCTACTCGTTTGTCACTTGGGTAACCAGATGTTTGTCATGTAAGGTTGAAATCACCACTTCCTTTGGGTTTCTTTTTTTTTTTTTTTTTTCTAGATGAACAGGAAATATGTGACTGTATGAGTGAGATTTGAACAAAGATTACAGCTAATGTTTGTGCTCAGGAACTGTTTTCTATTAAATAGTTGTGAAGATGATGAATATATCATTTTATTACACGTTTTATGTGTTAATAGCAATGCTGAACTTATTTTACCAACTGTATGGGGATTTTACTTTTAACATGGGTATTTGTAAAGTGAGAGTTATTTACTTATGTTGTGTTTGTGCTTTCCTGTATGAAGTTAAATTAATAACTTGCTTACGCGAACTCAAGCTTATGTTAAAATACATGCATAACAGATTGTAGAGTGTTTGCAAGAATTCTCAAAAGCACACTAAAAACACCAAATAACACCATATCAACTGCATAATGTGTGACTTTGTCTCATCAAACTTCACATTCTCCTCTTTTCATTTGTAAAACTGCACAGTTGTCCGCATGATCTGAGCAATGTCAACAAGTAAATAAACAAATAAATAAATAAATAAATAAATAAGAGCTTCTTCTCCTTAATGACCTCCTCCAGCTCATCCAGAGGCTTTCCCAGGCCAGGTATGAGATATATTTTCCACTGCACGTTTTGTGTCTGCCCTGATTTCTCCTCTCAGTGGAAAGAAAAGTGGTCCAGAATTACAGCTGAGAGGGGAAAGAAGCTAAGAGAAACGATTGGTTTGAGTTATTTTTTCCAAAGTGTGTGCAACCAAATGTATTCTATATTACATTATATCATGCACTTGTGGACACCCATGTTTGAATATGATTGTGATGGACAGTGACTAGCACAGAAGTCCAACAACAGAACACAGCTCAGGATTAGATCAGAGAGGCCTTTCTTCCCAGTCACGCCCCTCCAGGTCACACCGTCATTAAATTATTCATATTAATACGGTATACGGTTTACAAATTAGGTTAATTCATATGTATTTTCTGTTTGATAATATAGAATTTCACAGTGGTTATTATTTACATTTATGGTCAGAATCATTATTTACAAATTTACATGTTTAAGATGTGTTCAGCAGCATCTGAAAGTGTTAAAAATTAGTTATTGTATCTTCCTTTGTGCTTCATTTACTGTACTTATCTTACATCTAGCTTCTGATTGGCTAGATTAGGTCATGTGAGATCAAGACCAGAAAGTGTGGTTATTGTGCAAGGATAAAGTGTGAAGATTGAGAAAAATATATAAAAAAAAATATTAATAATAAAAGTGCCAAGATTGGTTGAATTGCTGTTAAAGTAATCTGCTTGCATTCTGATCATCGTTATATCTGGAGTGATCTAATCACCACACAATGAGCCCTCACATTACACTAATAATAATTTTGTCAGGCCCATTTTTGGAGTTTTGCGTGAAATTATATCAGTTTAGGCTTCTTTGTTTGTTTGTGTAGTTCCAGTACGCACAAAGAAAATAAATGTGTATAACAAAATGTGTAATTGTAATAATTTTCTGGTAGAAATTTTTGATTTTCTGAAAACTTCAGGGGTGACAACATTTTCAGACATTCATTCATTAAACCTTTATTTATACAGGTTAATCCCATTGAGCCTCGGGGACTCATTTACAAGAAAGACCTGAATTTTAATAAAGAGTGACAACAGTGGACAACAACGTCAACAATAGAAAACCATAAAGGATGCGTACACATTTTATTTTATTTTTTTAACAAGTGAAAATAAAATTACAATTAAAAGGATAATTAAAAGGAAAAGTAACAAAAAACAGCTAGATTGTAAGGTGGTGTAGAAAATTAAAAACAGGAACATGTCTGCGTTGGTTTTTGCCAGAAACTTAACAGATATTTAAAGCCACTTAGAGAGGTCAAGGTCGAGAGCTTCAAATCTTTTTGCAAGATATTCCAGGAAACAGGAGCGGAGTAGGAGAAGGTCCTTTTGCCTAGTTCAGTTCTCACTGAGGGGACACTGCAGGTAATAATGTCCTGAGAGCGCACGCTGTAGCTGCACTCACGCAGAGACATGTAGGAGGAGATGTATGAAGGCAACAGACCAAGAAGTGATTTAAAGATGAAAATTTACCAGTGGGAGAGTCTGCGTGAAGTTAATGATGTCCAGTTAACCAGTGAATACAGGGTGTAATGGTGGGTAGTGGGTACGATGGTTACAGCCAGCTATAGATCTTAGCGCACCGATAGGCAGCATCCAGCATCTGCAAAGTTCTTGTAGGAGCACTCATGTACGGGCAAATAACGTCACCGTAGTCAATGAAGGGAAGGAAAGTCGCAGTTACAAGGCGTTTCCTAGCATTCAGAGTTAGACGGAATTTATTTCTGAAAAAGAAACCAATTTAACTTTCAGTTTCCTTACTAGGTTTTCCACGTGAAGCTTAAAAGAGAGATGTGAATGACCAAGATACCCAAATATTTGTAGGAATCGACAAACTCAATAGGAACACCATTTGAGGATAAAATCAGAGGAAGAACTGCTGGGACAAACTTCCTGTTTGAAAAAAGCATCCCTTTGGTTTTGTCAGCGTTTAGGACAAGTTTGAGATGGAACAAATCAGACTGGATGATGTCGAAAGCGGACTGCAAAAGCTGGAAAGCCTTAGCAATTGTTTTAGCTCGACAATAACAACTGTGTCATCAGCATAGAAGTGTAAGGATACATCAGGGATGCTCTGACCTACATTACCTATGTAGATTGTAAAGAGGGTGGGTCCTAAGACTGAGCCTTGTGCTACACCATTGTTGACTGTTAAATAACTGGAGGAAATACCATTATGTTGAACACATCTGAAAGATAGAGAACCAACCAATGGTGCATGCCCATTTATCTCTTTAAGCTCTTTAAAACAGGCTTTATCTGTCATAGATACTTGTTACTTCAGTTTCTTGACATAAAGGCAGCAGTAGAGGCTTTTCAGGTTTTACTTTTAGTATATTTTTGCAGTTTCTATTTTAGTTTTCAGCACCATATGCCAGCCATCTCCGTTAACTCGCACCACTTCGGTTGCAACCATTATGTAAAACAGCAGGGGAGTTCGAGATATGTTTTGCGTGTTTAAGTCTTTCAGTTTCTAACTTTGTTAAAATATTCTATGCTTATATACTTTTATGTATTTCTCAGTAAAACTTACATTATTCAAACTTTTTTTAAATCAACTCCCTTGCACTAATAACTAACAATAAAAACAACGATATCCCCTGCTCTGTGGTTTCGTCTTTTTACCGGAAATGGTCTGTGTTTACAGCAGCTTGGCTTAGCATCACCTGGTTTGACCACAAACCGTACAAAAAAATACTCGTAAATAAGTTTTAGTTTCTCAACAGTCATATATTGTAAATCGTTTATTTAAACTAGAGCCAAACTACGGGGAGCATGACGGTTTGGAGGCTAACGAGCTATCGACAAGCTGGCTAACGTTGTGACGAAGTTAGCCAGCAAAGGCAGCCGACACCACGAGCTAATTCAGCACACATCCAGCGGCTGGTGCGGTAATTCAGGTTTGTCCACTTCACTCTAACAGGTGTTTGCGTGTGCGTTTTGAACGATAGGCGGTCGTACTGATTTCTGTCTCGGCCGTCGAGCAGGAAGAAGCGGGGCCATGGGTGCGGAGAGCAGCGCGCTGCGGGGCTGTACTCTGCTGGGGGAGCCGCTCATGACGCTGCCCTCTGGACTCACCATGTACTCGGCGGCTCTCCAGGACGGAAAGCCTGCGTCCGTGTTTGTTCACAAGCGGGGCAATGAAGACAAAGTCAACAAAGCTGCCAAGGTGTGTACGGTGAGGCCTCATTCGGGTTCTCAGTGCAACAATTGCATCTTTCACTCATTCATCAAGGTTCTTTAAAGAACAATATTTACATAGTAATACACATATTATTGAATGACAATAATTATTGTCGCTCACATCACATGTGGTACACGGAGTGGAACAAAGTTGTGTACTCGAGGTCCCAGTTACACCCAAAAATATAAAGTATTAAAAAAGAAACAGTATACAAGAAACTAAGATATACTCTAAACAATAATAATGTAATATAATACTGTGTATTAAACAGTATCCTGAACATGAGTTTTGTGAGTAGATGGGTATGAATATAGCAGCTTAAGGTAAGAAATCAGCAGCATGGATAAAGTGACAATCCCAATTAAAGTGGCATTACAGTGATTCTTCTGGATTTATGTCTAACATATTCACAGTAGAAGCTGTTCCTCAGTCTAGTGGTTCTACGCTTCGTGCTTCAAAACCTCCTGCCTGATGGGAGGGGGAGGGGGTGCTGGGTGGGTGGGGTCCTTCATGATGCAGGTGGTCCTCTTCCTGCATCTGGAGGTGTAGATGTCTGTGATGGTGGGGAGGCTGACTCCAACAGACTTCTGTGCAGCCTTCACCACTCTCTGCAGAACTTTTTTTTCTGCAGCTGTGCAGCCTCCATGCCACACGTTGATGCTGAAGCACAGGATGCTCTCCACTGCACACCTGTAGAAGGAGGTGAGGACTGAGCTCCCAGACCAGCTCGCCTCAGTCGCCTGAGGAAGTAGAGTCTCTGATGAGATTTCTTGATCAGGCTGTAATGTTGTCTGGTGTGTTCTAGTCATGTCATCATTCTTTAAAAAAAAAAACTGAAAACTCCAATGCAAATATTACCCAGTCTACTTTTACTAATGTGGTCATTTGTAAAATCACCAGATGTGGTTGTGCAGAGTAATTTGTGCATATTGAGTTTGGCACAGAGCAAATATTTTGCTTAATGTAAAATGTCCCTCCACATTTAGTATTAGTTGATGACATGGAAAACAGTACAATTAAATTTTCTTTAGGCTTTACATGTTTGTGGGGTTTAAGCACTATAAAGTTTTTTTTTAATCCGTCCAAAGGACATGATTTTTCTACCTGGATTAATGAGTAAATATCAGGATATAAAGTAGTTTTGTTTTTTTAAGAAAAATATGTTGCTTTTTGTTATTTACTTGATTAAATCTATAAATATGCTATTTTTTGCTTTGTGTAGATATACATATTTTATTTAGTTTGTTATCATCTTTGTCAATTTGTTATAATTTACCCATTTGTATTATAATGTGTTAGTGTTTTGAAAGATGCCAGTAAATGAAATGGATTATTGTTATACACATGCATATACATAAAAATAAGAGAGTACAGTACAACACAACTGGTCATTTATCCTTATACTGCATAATAAAAATAGTAAGTAAACAGTGTTATTAACTATATGAGATAAGTCAAATGTTTTGGATCCTGTTTATGTTAAATCTAAACAATTTAAAACATGCACACAAAGTTCAATATGAAATTATTACAATTTTCTGCCCTCATGCCAAAAGAAATGTGAAAACCCCTCTGCGTTTTACTTTAAAGTGCTGGTTTTGTTTGTTTATTCATTTTTTTACATGTGAAAATCACATATTGATTGAGACCAGATGGATTCAAGTACTGGTATATTTCCTTAATTATTTTCTTTTCTTTTTCAGCATTTAAAGACACTACGGCACCCGTGCCTGTTGCGCTTCCTGTCCTGTTCTGTGCAGGATGGTGGCATCCATCTGGTAACAGAGCATGTGCAGCCCTTGGAGCTGCTTCTCGACAGTCTCTCCCCTGAGGAAATCTGTGCAGGCATCTATGACATCCTGCAAGCGCTTGTCTTTCTGCATGACAGGGTGAGCAAGACGATTATCCTTTAGCGTTTGTTGATTTGCATATAATTCCTGTGTTGTCAATTATACATGTGATTTAAAAATAACACTTTAAGATGGCATCAGAAAAGAAGACGGTTGAAGTGCAGTTTTTAATGTTTTATTCTAGCTTTTGGACATTTTGTTTGCCTTTCAGCCTGTGATAAACAACTACTTTATCATTCACTAGGGTAAACTGAGCCACAACAACGTCTGCATTTCATCTGTGTTTGTCAGTGAAGATGGTCATTGGAAACTGGGAGGGATGGAGACTGTATGCAAGTTTTCTGAAGCAACTCCTGAGGTAAAAAGTTAGTATTTATTGCCAAGACAAACTTTGGAAAGGTATTTTCCCTTTATTTAATTGTGTAAAGATTCATAGTAGCAGATATTGTAGGGCTCACTTTATAAAATATCAGTTAAATAATTTTGATTGGTCTTCACCTCTGTAGTTTCTCCTTAGCATCGAGAATGCAAGAGAGACCAGCTATGTTCCTCCTGAAGAGCAGGTGAGTTTAAAATGTTACCCTGAATGAATTTATGAACTTCCTTTTACTTTATAGTTTTTTAAGCAAAATTATTATTTTTTTTTATTTTTTTTGGCAGGTTAAAGACTTTGAAATCCTCCCAGATACACATGCTCATGCTCGGGACTGTTACTCTTTTGGAATGATGGTGGAGGCTCTCATCCCTCTGCTCAATGGTTATGGTGAGCAGAGAACCAGCTCAGACTCCATGTTGCATCTCGTCACATTTACCTTCGTTCTCAAATGTTTGGTCTTTTTGTCGTTTCAAGTGTCGCGGGAGCTGTCCGACAGTCTCACAAAAACTCTGCAGGCCGGCCTGCTGAACTCTGACCCCATGGCTCGACCCTCACTCAGCTCCTTACTGACTCATGACTTTTTCCGGTTGGTGTGCGCTTTCAGTCTTATCAGTTTGGACTGATGGAAATGTCCTCAACAACTTCCTGTTTTTTCTTATGAATAGGAATGACTTTCTAGAAGTGATGAATTTTCTGAAGAGTCTCACCCTGAAGACAGAAGAGGAAAAAAATGAATTTTTTAAGTGAGATTTTTTTCAATATAAATGAGGTTCGGTCTTATGAATTTGGGTTTGTATTCACATTCTATGCTCATTGTGTATTTTTAGATTTCTTCTAGATCGTGTCCAGACACTTCCAGAAGAGCTGATAGCTGCACGTCTTACCCCCAAACTTCTCAACTCACTGGTTTTTGCAGAACCCATGGCAGTCAAGAGTTTCCTCCCTCATCTTCTAAGGCCAAAGAAGGGTAATAAGCTTTTATTTTACGTAACTAAAAACTTAAAGATTTGATTATTTGCTCATGTTTTTTTGTTTTTTTACCTGTGTGGACAGATGCCAATCATGGTAGTAGCAATGAAAATTGTCTGCTGTCTGTGGCTCTTTACCATAAACATGTGATACCTCAGCTTCTAAAACTCTACAAAGTCAAAGAGGAACACGTCCAGATTGTGCTACTGACTCACATCCACCTCTACGCTGGATTCTTCTCCCATGATGAACTTAAAAACCAGATCCTACCTCAGGTGAAGTGCCAGCAGAAAATACGTTTAATTTTCTCATTACTTATAAACATCGTGATGGTTTAAGTGACAACACGAGTGGAGAGATTAGTTCAACAAATCCTCCACAAATTGTGCTCGTTCCAATCCTAATTTAACATTTTGTCTGTTGTCACTTGCAGATTTTGTTAGGATTGAGAGACACCAATGATGCTCTGGTTGCCATGACGCTGCAGAGTTTGGCGGTGTTGGTACCTCTGCTGGGGGCTCATGTGGTTGTTGGCGGAGAAAGAACAAAGGTCTTTAAACGCACCACGCCCAGTTTCACAAAGTCTACAGAGGTCACCCCTGAAAGTAAGCAAAAACATTTATTACAGATAAATTAGTCTACCTATAACTTTGACAACAATTATAAAACAAATTGAAGACAATAGAATGTGCGGTCTTCAGGGTTCTGTTTTCCAAAATTGGACTTTACTTTTCTCTTTTTTTTATGTTTTCCACATAATTCACTGAGTCAAATGATTTTGTAAATCAAAAACCTCTAAAACGCCAAATTCGGAGCTTTCTCAAAGAAAACTACAAGGATAATCAGCAGTGATAAAAGTAAAAAGAGAAAATTTGAACTATTGTTTTCAAAATGTACAGTCGTCCCTCGCTATATCGAGGCTCCACTGTGTCGTGGGTTTTTTAAACTCTGTTTTTATATTGTGTGTACTGTACATTCATCTCATCGTCATCATCTTCATCGCCAAAATGTTTAAGAGCATATGAAGTGTTTATAAGAGGGTGGGAAAAGTTTATGAGTGTGGGAAGGGTTTATAAAGTCTTAAATATAGATGAATAATAAAAAAAAAATAATGCCTCTACTTCACGGATTTGGAACATAACCCCTGCAATAAGTAAGGGATCACTGTAGTGAGGTTTTCTTTGTCGTCATTTATTTATTAACTTGGTCTTAAAACTAAATTTCTAGTTTATTTGTGCTTTAAACTACGACGGAGCTATAGGGCCACACTAAGAAAAAAGAAATTACATTATGAGAAAAAAAGTCATAAGATTATGAGAATAAAGTCCAAATATTACGAGAATAAACTCGTCATACGTCCTGGGTCGGCTCGCACCTGCTGTGGACAGCCTCCAATGTGAGTCACTGTGTTTATGAAGTTGTCCGCGATCACTTTTGGGTCACTGTTTTGTGAAATATGCCTCTATCCACATTATGTCACGACTAAATCCGTCAGTGCAGCCATTTATTACAATGTCATACGGCTTCAGTTTATCATAAGAATCCATATACCACAGTTCATTGGGCCCCCTGCTATTGTACTGCCAACGTCAACATTCATCACTTTTTTTGTGTCAAGAGTTCTGATAATATTACAAGTTCATTCTCATAATACTACAAGTTTATTCTCATAATATTATGACTTTATTCTTGTTCGTAATGGGTTTTTTTTCGTAGCGTGGCTCTAAAGCTCCGTCGTATTAAACTGGGGTGACAAATACAACCTTGGAATAAAATTATTAAACAGTTAGTAAAGAAACGTGAAAACAGGTCAAATTGATTGCGTTAAATATCACCAGTAATTAGAACAGTCTGTTGTTGAATGGCAATAATTTTTCTTTATCCGTGTTTCTTAGCTTCTCCTATCCATGTAGTTGGAAGCTCCCACCTTCAGATGGCTCAGCCTACCAAAGCTTTAAATTTCTTCCCCAAACCATCAGGAACTGAGAGTTTGGTCCTCAGTCACTTTGAGAACTTGGCAGATGCTCGACAGAAACCAAGAGTTTTTGTACCAACATCAGGTAAGAGCCTTTATTATCATTAATATAAATGAAGTTAGTTTGTTTAGATGAAGTTTAATGTCTTCTCTGCTGTGTTCCAGATGTCATGCAACATGTGTCTCTGCCCTTGAATGGCTTTTATCAGGACGGTGAGATAAAACCATTGTCTCACAGCTCAAAACAGACTGACAGACTAGAGGGTGGAGAGGAAGACTGGCCTGACTGGAGTGACCGTGACGAAGGCGAAAGAAGAAAAGGAAAACCAGTACAGATTCACATTCAAGCCTCAGAAGTAGTTGGTTCAGTGAGCACCAGGCTGACACAGGAAAACACAGAAGAGGAGCCATGGGATGATTTTGAGGACACTGACTCAAATCTCTCACCTACAGCTTCCTTTGCAGACTCGGTCGTTCTTATGCCTCCCAGAGGGAGTACTAGTGCATCTGTTAAACATGCTCCTCAAACATTGAAGCTCGGTTCCTCGAAACCCCTTAAACTGACTTCAACACTGCAAGAGTCAATGCAGAGCAGGAGTCCTCCATCATGGGACAATGCCCGGGGTCAAAAAACTGCTTCTCAGAAGTCACACTACCCATCAGTCCCAGAGCACAAATCTGCAGTGCCACAAGTCTGTGGTAGAACTCAAGGTCTAGGGGATGAGTTTACCATCAAGGTGAAGAAAAAGGTAGTGGAAGACCCAGAACTGGATTTATTTGCAGATATGGTGCCAGACATTAAGTTGTCCTTCTCAGCTCTACTGCCAATAGAGAAAAGTGCACGTGATGCAGGACCATCTGGAGCCTCTCCAACAAACACTCGAGCTCTGCAGACTGACTCATTTTTTGATACTTCAACACTTACTGCCAAGTTTGCAGCAGCCAACCTGTCTGAGGTTTGTGATGTTTTTAGTACTTTTGAATATTTTTCAGCTTGAAATGTTCATTGTAATGGCATGAAGTTCTTAAGGTATAATTATATTAATGTAAAGTTTTTTTCACATGACACTAAATATTACTTAACTGGTTTTGTCACCTGAAAATGTTAGCCCTAAACTAACTGATACACCTGCAAAAAATCCTGTCTGATAGTTCTGGTAAACATGAATTTGAGAAAAAAATCATAAGCAAATTGGTACTCTTTTCAGTTTTAGGGCATTAAAGAGAACAAGTTAAGTTAAGAAACTTATTTTAGGATGAAATAAAGGGAGTATTGGCGCAGAGGTTAGAGAAGGTGGGCTTGTGATCGGAAGGTCGCCGGTTCAACTCCCCGTACCGACAACATCAAAATGTGGGTGGGAAAGGTGAAACACTGCCTCCACTTTCATTTGCCCCACGCTAGACCCTTGAGCAAGGCCCTCAACCCTCATTATCTGCTCCCCTAGATGCCCTAGATAGCAGCTCTCTGCTCCACACAGAGGGCTGTGGTAGCTCGGTGGTCTGTGGTTGCGTCAGGAAAGGTATCCGGCATAAAAACAATCGCCAAGTCTTCATGCACTGTGGCGACCCCTGAAGAAGGGAACAGCCGAAAGAAAATAAATAAATTTTAGGACAAAATAAATAGCTTGTATACTTGAGTGCTTTGTAAACACTCAACACGTCGAAAGCAAATGTCCCACCCCCACCTACCATTTTAAACCACCATTATAGTGCAACTTCTTATCACAGTGCATACCTGAGAGCATATTTTTTTCCACACTTCATTTTTTGTGTAGGCATTATACACTGCCTGAGCAAAACAAAAAAAAAAGTTGTCACCTGGATTTAACTAAGCAAATAGGTACAAGCCTCCTATTGGATAATTACTGCATGGGTGATTATCTTTCAGCTGGCAACAAGTTATTTAACCCCAACTGGTGCAATGAGTTGCTTCTCTTTTCTTAAATAACCATGTCTAAAGACACATCGCGTGGTCGTGGAAAAGATGTCGGTCTGTTTGAGAAGAGTCAAATCATTGGCATGCATCAAGTAGAGAAAACATCTAAGGAGATTGTAAAAACTACTAAAATTGGGTTAAGAACTGTCCAACGCATTATTAAAAACAGGAAGGATAGTGGGGACCCATCATATTTGAGGAAGAAATGTGGCCGGAAAAAAATCCTGAATGATCGTGATCGGCGATCACTTAAATGTTTGGTGAAATCAAATGGAAGAAAAACAACAGTAGCACTCAGGGCTATGTTTAATAGTGAAAGTAAGAACATTTCCACACGCACATTACAAAGGGAACTCAAGGGATTGGGACTGAACAGCTGTGTAGCCTTAAGAAAACCACTAATCAGTGAGGCTAGCTGGAAAAAAATGCTTCAGTTTGTTAGGGAGCATAAAGATTGGACTCTGGAGCAATGGAAGAAGGTCATATGGTCTGATAAGTCCAGATTTACCGTGTTCCAGAGTGATGGACGCATCAGGGTAAGAAGAGAGGCAGGTGAAGTGATGCACCCATCATGCCTAGTGCCTAGTCATCAATGCAAGATCTTGGAATTAATGCAACACTGGATGGAAATAGATCTTGTGACATCGCAGAAGCTCATCAAAACAATGCCACAGTGAATGCATGCTGTAATCAAAGCTAAAGGTGCTCCCATGAAAAATTAGTGTGTGACCGTTCTTTTTGGGCCAGGCAGTGTATAAGCATTTTATTTGGTAAAAAAAATGAAACAATGTTACACCTACAAGTGAAGGTTCAGTCTTTTTTTAGTTGATTTAATACTGAGCCGATTAGCCAAGTGATTACATAATATTAAATCTTAAAATCTTGGTTTTGTGAAATAATCTCAATTAACCAGTTTAGATGTTCAAAAATTTGTTTTTATAATGGTGGTGATTCTCTTGTATATTTGATTCAGCAACTATTACTTTGCTAAAACTGCTTGTGTAAATGGTAATACTCCAAATTCTTTAACAAATTCTCCTGTTACCAAACTGAATCTAGCCCACCTGCCTCAAGACACTCCCTTGACCTTTCTGCTCATACATGAGTGAAGTACTGACTGAACTACTCAGTCTGGACACCCAGCAAACTGGCTGGACTGGATGGGGTGAACCCTTTCTTTTTGAAAACCAGTGTTCACATCATCGCAACCCCCATGTGACTTGTTAAATCTATTGCTGCAAACTGGAATGTTCCCCCAAAAATGAAAATCTGCTGCAGTCACCACCCAATGTTCAAAGGAGGTGACACTGCTGACTTAAGCTGCTACACACCCATTTCCATCCTGACATGTGTCTCAAAAATCCATCCATCCATCATCTTTGACCCACTTCTTCCTATTTAGGTCGTGGAGGTCACTGGTGCCCATATCCAGCAGTCACCTTGCAAGAGGCGAGGGACACCCTCAACAGATCACAAGTCCGACACAGTCTAAAAAAATCCTTGAAAAGCTAATCAACAAACAGCTTATTAACCATCTGGAAATGCTCAATGTTCTCAACCCTCTACAGTCAGGGTTTAGGTCAGGGCACAGTTGTACCATTGCCACACTTGAGGTTGTAATGACATTGTGCGATTGAGAAGAGTACTGTGCTGCGGTCTTCATTGACCTAGCTAAGGCCTTCAACTCTGTAGACCACTCCATCTTGCTGGAAAGGCTAAGAGACATCAGTCTGTCAGGGAGTTGCATAGCTTAGTTTAAAAGCTACTGCTCTGGGCGAGCGCAATCAGTGAGGGAGGAGTCACCTGTCAGACCCACTACCCATCGGCAAAGGCGTTCCCCAAGGCTCCATATCAGTCCAACCCTTGTTTTCAGCATATCAACAATGTAACAAATTCTGTGAATTCTTCAGTCAGGTCATCTGGATAGTTTATTTTTTTGTGCTGAAATGCCAAAGACACTATCTTAGCACCAACATAACTGGTTTGTTCCACTTTGGAGTAATTCAATTCAATTCAAAAATACTTTATTAATCCCAGAGGGAAATTATTTGTTGTTGTAACTCATTGTCATATCATTAAGAGATGTTATAGACACTGATGGCTGTAGACAGGAAGGATCTCTTGTAAAGGTCCATCCCACAGTGGATCCTAAGAAACTGGCTACAGATGCCGTCCGATCCTTCCACCCAGACTTGGCTGGCCTCTTGGTCCCCCCGGTCTGTAGGATCACCCGAATGCCGGGCAGAACTCCTCCCAGAGTGATGGTCACTGTTGGGGGAAGAATCAGTTTTGTGTTGTGTGTTTCCTTGACTGATTAAGCCTTCTGGGTGGAAGGTGAAACGTTTCAGCACAAAAAAAGAAACTGTCCAGATGACCTGACTAAAAATGTTGGATTGTAAACCTGGATTATTGAGCATGGACTTTGTTGGTCTGTGAATTCTTGTTCGCACACATTTTACGCCGATGACACTTGTACCTCGCTTAACTCTGCCCTCTCTGCACTAAAATTAGTTTCAATAGCATCCTTTTTGTAATCTTCATTCAAAACTGACCACTCTGAAAACAAAATGCATGCTCTCTAACAGAAACCTTCCTCAAACTGTCTGCCTTCAGAAAATCCTCTCCTTGGATGTCTCCAAGGTCCAGTTTGCCAGCAGTTACAAATACCTTGGGGTTTGGCTCAATTCTTCTCTTATACAAAACTCATATCAACACTGCTGTCCAAAGTCAAATCTAGAGTAGAGTTCCTCTTTGGAAACAAACTCTCCCCAACTCAACCTGCAAAACATCTTCTGGCAAAAATGATTTTTTCATTCAACTTTTATTTAGACAGGTAAATCCCATTGAGCCTCGAGGACTCATTTACATGAGAAACCTGATTTCGACAAAGAATGATGACAACAATGGACAACAGCGACAATAGACGGCCACAAAAATGCCTACAGATTTTTTTTAACAAATAAGATGGCAAAAAAAGTAACAAACAGCTGGAATATAAGGCAAATGTAGAAAACTAAAAACAGGAACATGTCTGCATTGGTCCTTGCCAGGAGTCCAACAGATTCTTAAAGCCACTTAGAGAGGTCAAGGTCGAGAGCTTCAGGTCTTTTTGTAAGATATTCCAAGAGCAGAGTAGAAGGCCCTTTTGCCTAGTTCAGTCCGGACTGAGGGAACACTGCAGGTAATAATGTCCTGAGAGTGCACGCTGTAGCTGCACTCACACAGAGACATGTAGATGTATGAAGGCAACAGACCAAGAAGTTATTTAAAGATGAAAATGTACCTGGCAAAAATGACAGTTCTTCTGATGTTCACCTGGGGACATCATCTACAGCAGTGTTTTTCAAAGTGTGTGTGTGGGAGGGGGGGGGGGGGGTGCTCAGAAAGCTGGAGAGAATATTTAAAAAAAAAGCAAAAATTTTTTTTATCAATTTTTTTATTACTGTAATTAATCTATTTTTCAATAATTATTTTAAAATATATTTTATAATACCGGTAATATATTGAAATATTTTTCACCATGCTCATCTTTCCGATTGGCTGCCAGTGAAATGTTCACAAATACTAAATGATTGTTCATTCATTACTTTTTTGTTTTCTCTTGAAGACCGAAACAGACGGCTGGGGAGATGGAGACTGGGAGGAGAGCGCCTGGTGATGACGCTTGACCCAAAGTCCATCTGAAGTAAAACTTTTAACCACTGGAGACCTTTAATCCATCCACCACATCTGGATTGCCACTTCCCCACAGAGCAGAAAAATGAAAGTAGCTTCTTATCTAAAGCAATGCAGTAAAAACAGGGAGGGGCTGATTTCTATATGTGACATTAATCGGTACATTTACTATAGGATCTTGCTTTGAACAGGTAAAGATGGCTGTCCAATGGTGCTGGATTTTGACAAATAAAGCAGTTTATAATTGGTTTGCCAACTGACTATAATCCTCTCAAGATGATAAAGAATCCTAAATAGAGGGGAATTATCTGCCTTTTTTCCTTTAAATGTGCCAAATTACCTAGGCATTAAGCTCCAGATAAACTTTTTGCAGGACAATTTTTAATAAAGTTTGATTTACTAAAAGCTTGCACTTGGAATAAATGTGAGGTAGGAAAAACATTATTTAAGCTTTTGTTGATGGTGAAATAAACATTTTACTGTATGAAGTGCTTTACTCTCCTTATTCACATTATGATTTATGTTGCGTTGATAAAGTGAAGAGGGCAGCACGGTGGTGCAACTGGTAGAGCTGCTGCCTCTCAGCGAGCAGGTCCCTGGTTCAAACCCCGGTCCAGGGGCCTTTCTGGGTGGTTTGCATGTTCTCTCCGTGTATGCGTGGGTACTCCGGTTTCCTCCCACAGTCCAAAAACATGCACGTTAGGCTGATTGGTAACTCTAAATTGTCCCTAGGTGTGAGTGAGAGTGAATGGTTGTTTGTCTTTATGTGTCCCTGTGATGGACTTGCGACCCGTCCAGGGTGTACCCCGCCCCTCGCACAGTGACTGCTGGACATGGGCACCAGCGACCCCCGTGACCCAAAATGGAATAAGCGGGTAAAGAAAATGGATGGATGGATGATAAAGTGAAGACTGAACTTGTTTGTTTTTAAATATTTTAATAAACAATACGCAAAAACCTCAGACGTAAAAAAAAATCTTTACAAACTTCTGTGTGAAATGTACAGACGGGTTTAAAACGAACCAGAGCTGCTAGGTGGTGGGTTTGACTGAACTGATGTCGGTTATGAGGACTAGCAGCTCCTGCAGTTTGTCTTGCAGCCACGGTGGAGGCGTTTCTGTCGTGCTGGTGTTTCCTTCTTTTAGAGCTTGAAGGCCTTTCAAAGCACTGTGAGCTGTCTGGATGTAGCAGCTGTACTCCTCCTCTGTGCTGGTGTCCTGTCGAGCTTTCTTTGGACATGGCTTAAAGGGGAGGGGGGGACATAATTACAGAAAAAATATTAATCAGTCTTTTTAAATAAATGACTGATTGCACTTTAATTTTTCTTAAGGCAATTTAAACTAGATAAATTGCATTTCCTGTGAAAATGCTGTGTGAATACTTATTGCTGAAGAACTTACTGAAAAACAAATGAAATTTGTAAAAAAAAAGAAAAAAGCAGAGTTTAAGTTTAAATGGAAGAACAAGCCTAAATTAGCAGAAGAAAGCAGAAAGAGCACATATTTGCTGAATTAGGTTTAAATTAGCAGAAAATAGCACAAAAATTAGTAAATTAGCAAAAAAAATAGCTTAAAAGGCAGAAAGAAGCTTAAACTACCAGTAGGAAGTGGAAAGAGCTGAAATGAGCTCCAAAAATGTGGAATTAGCTGAAATATCAGGTAAAGCTGAAACTAGACAAAAAAATCTGAAAGGAACTTCAGCATAAATTACCATAAAGAAGTTAATTAGGTTGAAAATAGCAAAAATTACCACGAAAAACATGAATTCATCAGAAAACGGGCTAAAAAAAAAGATAGAACAAGCTGAAATTAGCAGAAGAAAGCAGAACACGTTTGCCCAATTAGGCTGAAAGAAAAAGAAATGAGCACAAAGTGGAAATTATCTGAAAAACTATTAAATTAGCAACCAAAAAAAACCAGCAGAAAGAAGCTTAAATTGCCATAAAGAAGTGGAGAAAGCACAATTAGGCTGAAAAAAATAATACCGAGTACAAAAAATGTGAAATTAGTTGAAAAAGCTAAAAAAATTGCCTAAAATCTGCTACTGGTAAATGCTGAAATACAAGTTTAAGCTTACAGAAATAGGCTGAACGGAGCAAAACAAGCTGAACTTGGTAGAAATAATTTAGAAGAAGCAGAAAAATGTGGTGGTTAGCAGAAAGAATCTGAAAGGAGCACGAAACAGCTGAAAGTAGCTGAAAAAATGCTTAAATTTGTACACGGCAGCTGAAATAAGCTGAACCAGAACAAAATGTGAAAGGAGCAGTAAAAGGTTGTAAACAGCTCTGAAGGATGGAAAATGAGCTCAATTCATTTTCTATGAGAAAAAAACTGGCAGAAAAGCTTTCAAAAAGTTCAAGTTGCACCAGTACCAAAAGTCATAGCACCCTTCTGAACGAGCTGAACATTTTGATTTAATATTTGTTGAAATAGAATGAAAATTGTGGTACGAGAAAGATGGATCACAACAGTGTGAATGCTTCATAAGAATTCACATAATAACCCACTTAATCTCAAAACTATAAATGTATAAGCCAGTTAAAATGAGCTAAAGTCATACAGTTGTATTTCATGGGAAACCTACTGAAAAACACTGAGCAGTGGTTCTTTGGTTACGTTTCATTCAAGCAGGTTCTGTTTCACTACCAACAAGTGTTTAAATGGGTTTCAGTTACACCTGTGTGTTTAAGGAGGGGCAGACTTCAGCTGAATTTAACCCACCTCAGAGTTTGTGAGGCCTTCAGCGTCAGCAGCCTGTTTGTTGGAAACCGTTTCTTTGCTTTCTTGCATTTCGTTGTGTTCTTTGATTACTGCGGCCTCCTCTTTGAGTCTCAGGAGCCGGGACTCTGCATCTTCCTGTACATTCAGAGTCTACAAAAAACTGGAGTCATTATTTGTTGTTGCTGAAGCAGATCCTCGTCACGTTGTGTTCATTTTGCCTACCTTGCTGAGGTAATTGACTACTTTGGTTTTTGTTTCTTCCACACACAAACTCTGGGAAATAACCTCTTCGTGGTTCGTATTCTTAAGCAGAGGAGGGACATGTTTAGTGTATGTTCAGACTTGAACATAGCCATTACATTTGAAGGAACAGCATCAGTTGTGTTTTTGCCGTACCTCTGCAAAGTATGAGAAGGCCTCCAGGGCGTGCTGATGAATCAGCCAGGACTTCTCAGCCAGAAGGACTCTGAAAAGGCTGCTCAGCCTGGGAACAATCTGACTCTGAAACAAAAACATATGACACTAAAATAAAATGATGGTTTCTAGTGTAGCGGATAAGTTAAGAAGGCGCAAGACATAAATGTCACCAACTAAACACTAGGAAAGACAGAAGGTAATAAAATGGATTTGTAATAGTTCAATAGTTTCATTACCTGATTGTCTAGAGGGATAAAGATCTTTCCGAGGGATGAGAGAAACTCCAGAGCAGCCAGCAGCAGATGATCAGCACATTTGTAAGAGACCACAGCATCCACACATAACACTGCCTGAAAGAGTAACCAGCGTCAAACCTAATTCTTTCTTCAGCTGCTGAGCTGTAAACACTAAAGTTTACCTGACGTATGACGCGAGGCTCAGTGTTTTTCACTAAAATGGCCGTTGTTGACAGCAGGAGCTGCAGCGTGTGCTGAAGCACAGGTTGGGTCTGCACCTGAGTGCAAGTTGGAGATAACGGTCTACCACTGTATGACTTGATTCAGTGTGCTTGTGTGTAAACTGTGTTCTCACCTGATCAGGACTCATTCGTGACCACAGCTGTGTGATCACCTTCACCGCAGACAACACACACTGTTCTCCAGGAGATGGATGCCCTCGTAGCACTGACAGGAGGGATAACAGCGCAGCGTTCTGGCAACAAGAGACACATTGTAAATAAAACTCATTTTACTTTTCATTTCAAAGTTCCGGAGCGGCACGGTGGAGCAGTTGATAGAGCTGCCACCTCTCAGCGAGAAGGTTGCTGACTCAAATCCCGGCCGGGAACCTTTCTGGGTGGAGTTTGCAGATTTTCTCCGGGTGCTCCGGTTTCCTCCCACAGACTAAAAACATGCATGTTAGGCTGATTGGTAACTCTAAATGGTCCCTAGGTGTGAGTGAGAGAGTGAATGCTTGTTTGTCTTGTTTGTCTCTATGTGTCTCTGTCCAGGGTGTCCCCCGCCTCTCGCAGTGATAGCTAGATATGGGCACCAGTCACCCCCGTGACCCAAAAAGGAAGAAGCGGGTAAAGATAATGGATGGATTTCATATTTCCACCCTGTCTCCTTGTATGGTTTTGTTTCAGCAATTAATACTGGAAAAGGGTGACTGATGGCTGCAGCACTATCTGAGTGGAGGAACCTAACAGTTCTGATCTAGAGACATGTACAAATAATTACACATTTATACTGCAATAAGACCTTTTTAGATAAACCTTATAGATCATTTTTTCATTCAACCTTTATTTAGACAGATTAATCACATTGAGCCTCGGGGACTCATTTACCTGTTTAAACAAAGGTCTTTCAATTCATGCTTTTGAGACACCTTCAGAACACTAGATGTCTGAACTGCAAAACTTCCTGAGTACTACAGTCGATGAAACAAGTCACTGGACGTCTGACAGACTGGTCTGAAATTGAATCAACTTTTATAAACAAGGACATGACCCATCCGTTTTCTTGATTTATTCGGTATGAGTCAACAAACTGGCCTTGGTGCACATGGACTCCTTACGCGGTCTGAGAAATCTATTAAACCCCATGACGCTGCATAACTGAGAATATTCTCACCACTTTGTCCATCTGTCCAAGCTTGTATCCTCCATCTTGCCAATCAGTTAGCACCTTTTGAGCGAGGCCAATCATTTCTGCCTGCACATGGAGGTAAGTGTCCTGCGAAAGAGCTCTGAAGAGGACATGACGCCACACTGGAAGGTTCTCCACCTTTGACGGGGGGAAACGAGCCACCAGCTCCATCTGAGAAAAGAAAAACATTTGTTTACTCTTCTCCAAGTCTGTGCTCCTACTTTGTGTATTTATTTAGAATTTGAATTATTAAAACCTTTCTTGTTAAAAATAAAAATTAAAAAGCTGACAAAGTAATCTCATCAGAATATATTGAACATATTTATCGAGTCATAAAATCAGTTGTCATTGAAAAATCAAAATGAAACTTTCTGTTTCTGGTATTAGCTGTAAATTCTTTGACTGTAAAAGTGAATTGTTTAAATCTAACAAGGTTATTTCAGGTCCTCTGGATGGAGGAGGACCAGACTTAACCTTGTTAGATTTTTCTACCTGGATTATTGAGCAAGCATCAGGACTTAAATTGTGCAAAGCGTGTTTCTATATAGATCAGCTGAATGTACTGATACCACTCAGCAGGTAGAGTCTGCAGATAAACTAACCCAACTTACAAACATCCTGTCAAAACACCAACCAGAGCGGTGTCAACGATAAGAGTTCCCATGCTTGCAGGAGTGCGCTAGGGACTCAACTGTCTAACACTTAAACAAGCAAAAAAAAAAACATGAACATTATTTACTACTTGTTATAAAACAGTCATGCATGTTAGGCTGATTGGTAACTCTAAATTGTCCCTAGGTGTGAATGAGCGTGTGAATGAGTGGTTGTTTGTCTCATTTGTCTCCATGTGTCCCTGTGATGGACTGGAGACCTGTCCAGGGTGTACCCCGCCTCTTGCAGTGACTGCTGGATATGGGCACCAGTGACCCCCGTGACCCGAAAAGGAAGAAGTGGGTAAAGATGATTGATTGATGGATGGATGGATGGATTGATGGATTGATTGATTGATTGATTGATTGATTGATTGATGGATTGGTTGATTGATTGATTGATTGATTGATTGATTGATTGATGGATTGATGGATTGATGGATGGATGGATGGATCTGAGGCTTAGTATTTAAACAGGTCTCATCAGTCCTTCCTGCCTGTATAAACTGTCCTTTCAAAGCTCGGGTTTCTGACCTGGTGGTTCGGAGTCATGAGAAACACCATGCGTTTCAGCAGCAGTCCCAGGTGGAGCAGCTGGTAACTCTCAGTGGTGCATGCTTTCACCTGGAGGAGAACAGAAGGCAGCAGATAATGTGAGTGTGAGGGCTCAAACCTAGTAAAGACATTAAGTATAAATTCTTTGTTCCTACGCACCATCTGAGTAATGAGGTGGACGTGATGTAGGCAAAGTTCTGCTGTCCCATAACTGTAAAAATAGACAAAAACCACAAGTTGATAAAGCATGCCTGAAAAGGTCATCGTCCTTATTAAAACATTTCTGCAGAGTTTGCAAGTTGCAACAAAAACTTTAACCCATTAGAATGGCATGTTATATGTCAATAAATTATAAATTATGGACTGATATTTGAACAACACAATATATTTGAACTAATTAAACAAAATCTTGTATCTGTTTGTCATTTTTAAAACACGTTTTAAACATCCACAATGCTGTATGGAAAAGGTGAACATAGCTGCTTCAAAAGCTACTTAGAGCCAGATAAGATCAGGAGCCATGACATGAAAGCAAATGTGTGAATAATCAGTTGTTTTTCTCCATATTTAAAAGGTAACAAAGTTTGTTGCACATATCAAGTCTAAAGTCAGCTTAAGAAAAATGTCTTAATCCTGGACCAACACAGGTGCTGCAGGCAGGACTGTGCTGCTGACAGAATCACAATGCTAACAGGACCATGCTACAAACAAGACCACGCTGCTAACAGGACCACGCTGCTGACAGAATCACAATGCTAACAGGACCATGCTACAAGCAAGACCACGCTGCTAACAGGACCACACTGCTAACAGGACCACGCTGCTAACAGGTTCACGCTACTGACAGGACCATGTTGCTAACAGGACCACGCTGGTAACAGGTCCACGCTGCTGACAGGACCATGTTGCTAACAGGACCACGCTGCTGACAGGACCATGTTGCTAACAGGACCATGTTGCTAACAGGACCATGTTGCTAACAGGACCATACTGCTGACAGGACCATGTTGCTGACAGGACCACGCTGCTGACAGGACCATGTTGCTAACAGGACCATGTTGCTAACAGGACCATGCTGCTGACAGGACCACGCTGTTGACAGGACCATGCTGCTGACAGGACCATGCTGCTGACAGGACCACGCTGCTGACAGGACCATGCTACAAACAAGACCACGCTGCTAACAGGACCATGCTGCTGACAGGACCATGTTGCTGACAGGACCATACTGCTGACAGGACCATGTTGCTGACAGGACCATACTGCTGACAGGACCATGCTGCTGACAAGACCACGCTGCTGACAGGTCCACGCTGCTAACAGGACCACGTTGCTGACAGGACAACGCTGCTGACAGGACCACGTTGCTGACAGGACCACGTTGCTGACAGGACCATGTTGCTGACAGGACAACGCTGTTGACAGGACCACGCTGCTGACAGGACCACGCTGCTGACAAGACCAAGCTGCTGACAGGACCACACTGCTGACAGGACCACGCTGCTGACAGGACCATGTTGCTAACAGGACCATACTGCTGACAGGTCCATACTGCTGACAGGTCCATGCTGCTGACAGGTCCACGCTGCTGACAGGACCATGCTGCTGACAGGACCACGCTGCTGACAGGACTATACTGCTAAGGCATATGTGTCAAACTCAAGGCTCGGGAGCCAAATGTGGCTCTCGATGACATCTTATCCGGCCCCCAAGATGATATTTTAAATGTAAAATACTTTTATCACTTTAATTTATTTCAGTAATATTTGATTATGATGTCAAAAGTGCAACAGAGAACGTCAAATGAGACCAATCAAACTCTTGATGAGGAACCTGCAACCAAGAAAAGATGTTGGGTATCTAACTGGAGTTAATGTAGATTCTGAAACCAGCCCTTAGTTTGAATAGGGTTTTAATTTTGGCCCCCTTTTGTGAGTGAGTTCGACACCCCTGTGCTTAGGGAACCTCACTGCTAACAGAGCCAGTCTGCTAGCAGGACCATGCTGCTAACAGTGTTTGTAACACTATGTTTTTATTTTAATCGTTTTTTTATTGTTATATTGTTGTCTGTACTCTATATGTTGTCTGTCTAAAACAAGTCTCTTGAAAATGAGTCTTTGTGACTCACTGAGACTACCTGTATAAATAAAGGTTAAATTAAAAAAATAAAAATTACAGTTTACAATAAGTTTTCATAATGAAAATATTTTTTCCAAGATATATTTAAAGCTGAATGAAGATGGAAAAAAAAATCAAAAAACTTGAGTAAACACCTAAAGATTGATCAACGAACAATATGGTAGTCTGTTGACAGATTTAAAGAGAGGGCATACAACACATCATACACCTGTCGACAAACTATTATATAATAATTTATAGCAAAGTCCTGGACAAACAAAACCCTTGCATTACATTTTACCTTGATTTGTGACCTTGGAGCTGAGGTGATGAGAAGTGTGTGACATTCTGTAGGGTGATGATGCATAGGTGTATGAAGTTTTGTTAAATTATGTTGAGCGGATCAGAAGTTATGGGCAGGACAAGAGAAAGTTTACCGACGTACTGATGGAGACTATACACAATACATCCCGCCTTCAACAGGCATATAACAATGTAAAAATTTTACATTTGTGAAGAATAAAAACACAGCAGCACATTAACATTAAACCCTTTGGTCAAACATGAAGCAAACTGGAGGAGGAATGGTTTGGAGCCATAACTGTTTCATCGGTTTAGATGTCATTTAAGTGTAATGAAAACAGAGATCTGATTTGAAGAAGACAAGTTCACCGCTGGACCACTGAAACTTTATCACGCCTCGCTCTCACCGTGACGTAAAGCACCAGACATCCGTTGCCAGTAAAGCTGTTGGAGTATCAGCCTGCAACACTGCATCAACCAAACAGCGTTCCTGAAAGAGAGATAAAAGGCGTGTGGGAAATTACACAGACAAGAACTGGAGATAAACAACACAAAGAAGAAAAAAACATTAGATAAAAATTTAACTAACAAAAACCGAAAGTGAAATTACTTACTTTGAATGAGAGGATATCCTGAATCAAAACACCATAGAATTTAGAGAGCCAAAGTAAATAAATTATTAGAAATTAGCCCCCACCTTGTACTGTGTTTTATATCCAGACCCTAAATCAACGTTAAGGCAAAATTTGTCTAATTTCCATTAAAGACAGAGAAGTCTTTAGGAGGTAAATAACTGCTGGAGTTCAAAGCTATTATCTGCGGCTCAAAGAAGAAACTGTTTTCATGGTGACCCAATCAAAATTTTTAAAAAAAATGTAGTTTTACTGAACTATTTTTACTCAATATTATTTTCCCCTAAATGCCTTTAGGCTTAGAATAAAATCAGATAAAAATCAAAAATAAATGCAACTCCACAAATATTGCATACGGTCTAAAAGATGTGATTGTGTGTGTAGAACATACAAGCACGGGAAAGAACGCAGGAGGGAGCACAGCCACGCTGGCACACAGCTGCACACAGATGTGGTGGTGCAGTGTGACCTGGACCTGGGGCTGACCCTTCAACATCACCCCTGGCAGCAGCACTGGTACCTTACGCTCAGTATAGCATCGTCGGAAACTAATAAAGATAGCTTTGTAGAGAGGAAGCCTGGAGGGAAAAAGAGCAGAAGAGAAAACTCTGACAAATGGCCAAGATAAACTCTGACTCACTACAACTGATAAGAAACAGATCATCAGATTTATACTTAGCATCAAATGATGCATGTTTGTGTTGCTCGACCCGTTTGACTCCATGTGTATTGATATATACATATTTGCACAATGCCATGTTTATAACAGACCTTAAAATGTTAAACTCTGTTCAGTGTTAATATAATATCATTAATCATAATTTGAATAATTATAGTAAAACTGACATTTACGCATCAAAATCATCTAATCACCTATGGCCTTATTATGAGGGATGTGTGTGATATAACACTTTAAATATCTGAATTCTGACAATGAAATCTGTTGTCACCTGGGTGAGTCTTCTGAGAACTGGCTGCCAGAGTACCAAAGCTGCTGGACGTCTTCTGGTTGGTCAGCTAGATGTTCTAAGATGCTCACCAGGAGGCAACACAGAGGAAGCTCCTGTTCAGGACTCAACACTGCAGCAAAAAGGTCAAAGTTTTATAGATCAAGCAAAAATCACTACCAGGATTTATTTATTTTTTGTTATTGAGGACGGTTTGACTTTCTCAAAATACATCATAAAAAATGTCAAATGACCAATGCTTATTTTTCTTCGCTGCTTGATTTGTTTGCAAGATTTTATGATGCAGTTTTTATAAGCCTTAAACTTTAAAATGACCATATTTTACTAAATAATTGCCATTCATTTACTGATAATGTATAAAAAAAACACCTGTCAATATCTGTCCCAATGGTAACTACAAATAACTACTGTTAAACGTTTCAACTCACGCAGATCCGGCTGGAGCGCAGCTTCAGCAAAAGGTCTGAGAGGCAGCAGCTGGAGCAGGAAGGCATTCATGGGAACCAGAGCTGCTGCATTCAGCTCCCCAGAAAGGGCAGCAGACAACACTGGAGCACTCAAACTGGGAGGGAACTCACTGAAAGAAATCAGAGTTGTCCTCATAATCAGAAACATAAACCACAGGATAAAATATGAGCTGAGATTGGCCTCTAAACATACAAGCAAACCACCCGTACCTGATGATCTGCAGGTAAAGATGGAGAAAGTTGCTGCAGTACTTGGTCAGAAAATATTTAAATTCCTGGCAAAGGATAAAAAAATCAAAATGTCAGTTAAAAGCATTTCCCAAAGTAGACAAATTTAAATCACAAGTGGCTACAGAGAAATAGATTTTAAAACCTTTATGTAATGAACCAAAGTGTTGGCAAAAAATCTGCACATCTTTGCAGTTTTCTGGAACAGCTTGTATTCTGGGATTGGTGTCGACTCCTGAAAAGACAGTATACTTTTTACCTCGCACTAACAACGGTTATTATTTGCAGACAAAGGTTAAAAACACAGGAAATATATAAATAAGTGTTATTTATGTAGAAGCCAGTTAAGAACTCTTAAGAGTATCGAACAAGACTGAGCCAAGTCCTCTGGTCTTCGTCCACAGGACCAGACTCAACCGTGTTAGGTTCATCTACCTGGATTATTGAGCAGCGTCAGGACAATTATTAGAGTAAGAATCGCTGTTTATAATGTCAAAACGTGTGAAGTCAGTAAAAAAATGTATAGTGCTCAACAGTATTCATACAATTGTGTTTAAAAATGATCAGTATGTAAAAATGAGTCAATAAAATCTATGAATAGATGTGCTTTGTCTTTATCTTAAAAAAAAAACAAAAAAAAAAACAATTGGCGCTTTCCTACCTGTAAATCATCTTGTTTAATTTGTCCAGCCAGTTCCACACAGTTGTGGAAAGACGCCACCAAGTTGTCACACAGACTGCTGACGATGTCACCATGATGCAGATGCTCCTCCACCAGGGACTGATACTTCAGACTCTGTCTAAACCAAGTAAAAATACTAAAATATAGAAACATATGTGGATTTAACATTTTGCAAAGAAGAATATCTGAACAATAAAGACTTACTTGATGAGGAACTTCCAGGTGTTTGCATGCAGTGCCATGTCCAGGCTGGAGATGACAGAGCAGATATCCAGAAGACTATGAATTACTGCAAAATATGAATATGTTAATGAAGTTTGTTTTAATAAAGTCAGGAATCTGAACACATTTAAATAAATGCTTAATCATTTCCAGTGCTGCAATGAAAAGAGAAATGAACAGAATTAATATTTTTAAATGTAGTAAATAAATACTGTATTTTCCGTCGTATAAGTCGCAGTTTATTATGCATAGATCTGTCAGTCCTGCGACTTCTACGTCATAGCGACATACACTTTTTTTTCCCATTATTCATAACGCAATTTTTGACTGACGCTTTAAGTTTCGAAGCAAGCTTTTTTCCACACCATGTGAACTGTACAGGGAGAAAAGAGTGCAGCCATTATTCTTCTGGGCTGTGGTGGTGACGCTCTGGAGCATTTCTCCTCTACTTTGTGCACTTGGACAACCACACACCGTAAAGTTTACAGTAAAAGACATCAGTTGTGAGGGGTAGTTGTTCTAAAATGCCCACAGTAAGTGCAGTCTTTGCTGATGATGGGTTTAGTGTTGCTGCGCCATGCCCATGACAGGTTGTCTTGAACAAAAGCCAACAGTTTGAGACCCTCCACACAGTTCCCTCTGATAAACAGGGTAGAATGTCCATTCTCTTCCTTCTAAAATTTACGACCAGCTCTTTCCTCTTTGAGGAGTTTAAGACCAGGCTGTTCTGTTCACCAAACATAAGAAGGCATAAATCAGCATACCTGTAACAACATTGAAGATGACCTCCTCTGAGGCACGACTGTCCAAACAAATCTTGTCCAGGAGCTCTAAAAGACCTTTCTGTAGGGAATAGGCCTCCTTGAAGAGCCCTTGCAGCAGATCTGCGACCAGCGACAGGCGGCCACAGTAAACCACCTCACTATCCTGCAGACAGCATACAACGCACGGCCACCTATTTTCATTTAAGCTATTTAAACAAGGCATTCCTCTGTAAATCAGTTTGCAGCTGGTTTTACAAAAATGTTTTTGATAACTGATATGATCTTATTTTTTTTTTTTCTTTTGCATCTAACTCAAAGAAAACCAAAGGAATGACTCCACAGTAAACTTGAAGATTTATAAATGGAAAAAAACTTTGTATTTTTATATGACGACTTCTTTTCAAAACATTAGTTGGAGCAAACAAACCTTGCAGTGCTGAAATGTATCTCTAAGGACTTTCAGGATACAAGTTGGTAAAGAGCGAATAGCATCCAAGTCAGGGGCTTCTTCAAACGAGCCAACATGACGCACACAAGCAAAAAGCGTATCAATTAACTGCATCATTCCCTGAAAACAATAACAAAGACTTAAAATATCAGCGGAAAGAAAAGGGAGAATATGAACAGTTTACTAATGACATACAGTACCTATAGAAAATATTTTCCTAAGTTCCCTCAGTATAAGTTTTAAACACACCTGCAGAATGTTCCTCAGCGAAGCACACAGCTCAGTGTTTTGACTTGAGAGGCCGCCAACCTGATTAGTTATTTCTGTCATCATGCTGCTAAACATTGTCACTGTCTGCAGAAATTTGTCAGATAGAGAATAAATACAATTATTAAGACAGCTTCACATTTTAAACTAAGTAATGTTAAACACAGCAATAATTCACAAGTACACAATTATTCATCATTAATTTATTTGACCACAAAACCAATCCTTGATAGGACAAAAAGACCATGCGATCTCTTGTTCCCCCCTCAGAAAAGCTCTTTAAAATATAAGCAGCTAAAAGTATAGAGTTACAGTGATAATCTTAGATTTTGGACGGTTTGGTGGTTGTGAGACACTCTCCAAATCTCCTAGCTAAAATATCAGTGTCCTAAGAGAAGATAAATAAAATAATAACGTTAAATAAATAAATAACATTTATTGTAATTTTATTTCTTTTTCAGTCTTTATTTTATTCAATCTAGTCGCCTTTGTAAAAAGTCCTTGGGTTGCCTGAATAGGGCTATACAATGTATTATAATTTATTTATTATTAATATTATTAATAATAAACTGATTATTATTATTATCCTCCAGCTTGCTTTCAGTAAGAGCATCTGAAAATTGGTTATCACATAGCCCAACTTGAGATGATTCCTTTTACATCGAAACACAAACATAAAATAAGCCAGTTAATAGTTTCATGCATGACATTCTCATTTTGAATGAAGGTTGTTCATAAAGTTTTTGATAATAGCTCATTAAGAAAATGTGGATTTCTCATTTTTACCTTTGGTAAAATCTTGGAGAAGCATTCATCTTCCAGCTCTGACAAACCAATATGTGGGAGGAACAGGTCTGTAATTATCTTCAGTATACCTGTGGGATTGTTTACATATAAGTCACATTAGATTCTTAAATATCTTTAATACATAAAATCAGCCTGTGTTATTGTTTGTTTAAAACAATGAGGCAAATGAGACACTTACGTATATGAGCATCCCAGCTGTCTGATTCAAAATGCAAAGAGTACAAGCAGTCAAGAAATAACAGAACATTTATTTTTATTTCAATATGCAAGTCTCAAATAATATTGGTAAATAAAGCACTAGCATTGGTGTGCATACTTTTTACATAATCTTAAACCATACATCATTAAAAGCTGGCATAGCACTGCATTATACAAAATGTTAAATACAAAATGAGGGCTGTGACTCATTACAAGTATCTTTTTTGAGAACAACAAAAAACATCTGAAAGGATATGGTGAGTTTGGGCAGGACAGACTTGAGCTCCTGGCGGCAGGTTTCCTGACTCCACTGCACCACCTCCTCCAGGAGAGAAGTCTGGGACATGATGGACACACCGGGGAGGGTCCGACTGCCTGTAAGTGCTGCAGAGACGGAAAGTTGGGAAACTGTGAGTGAATCACTCAAAACTATTAATTTCCGATTTATCAGTTTACTTTAGCGAACTGGCGCTGTCATTATTACGATCGGGTAAGGTTCCGACTAGCTAGAAGAAACTTTGCAGACGTTAGCTTTTGTATTTTGTTTCTTCGTGTTAGCATGAAGGACTAGCAGGGTATAAAAAAAGATAGCCTCTCTCTCACCTTGAATACAGAACAGGATCTTTTATCCACGGGGATACAATATTCTCACATTTCTATGAGTCAGTGTCTTTTAACTTTAACTTATATTAAAAGTAAAACGAGGACAGTTCACAGAGAAATAAATTGTGCGCCGCAGTACGAGTCGGATATGACGTTTGAACAAACGACGCGCTGATTGGTGGAAGTCAAAACGTCTGACCAATAAGAGAAGAGGAAACCGAAGAAGACGAAACGACGAGGGCAGAGAAGAAGTGTATGGAGGCTGGAATGTGACAAAATTAAATAAATAAATACATACTACTGTACTGCACATACATAATAATTAAATGCATCATTTAATTATTAAATACATCATTAAATATGCAATTAAATTATTGAATACACAATTAAATTATGAAATGTACTTTTTAAATTCTTTATTTCATCACATTCCATCCCCCACATAGGCAACTGTGGCGAAGGGCATATTTATAAAATTGTGTTTTTACTATTTCACGTCATCCATCCATCCATTATCTTTACCCGCTTATTCCATTTTGTGTCACGGGGGTCGCTGGTGCCCATGTCCAGCAATCACTGTGCGAGGGGCGGGGTACACCCTGGATGGGTCGCAAGTCCATCACAGGGACACATAGAGACAAACGAGACAAACAACCATTCACTCTCTCACTCACACCTAGGGACAATTTAGAGTTACCAATCAGCCTAACATGCATGGTTTTGGTCTGTGGGAGGAAACCGGAGCACCCGGAGAAAACCCACGCATGCACGGAGAGAACATGCAAACTCCACCCAGAAAGGCCCCTGGACCGGGATTTGAACCAAGGACCTGCTCGCTGAGAGGCAGCAGCTCTACCAGTTGCGCCACCGTGCTGCCTTTATTTCATGTCATGTGTTATGTAATTATTTATTTTGCACAATCACATTATTATTATTATTATTATTATTATTATTATTGTTGTTGTTGTTGTTGTTGTTGTTGTTGTTGTTGTTGTTGTTGTTGTT